AACAGTCACAGCAACTGCAGAGGGAGAGATGTGCTAACATTTAAATTCTACAAAGGGCAAACTAATCACTAGTGACAGCAAGCAGATCAGCGGCTGCCTGGTTAGAAGGGTTCTCTAGGGAACTAGAACCAGTAGAAGGCACACGTGTCTAGGAATTGGCTTCCACAATTATGGAGGTGAAGGGGCGCCCCCGTCTGCAGCTGCGCACTGGAGAACCCAGAGACTGCTGGGGTGAGTCCCAGCCTGAGAAGCAGGAGTCTGATCCCCAAGGGCAGGAGAAGGTGGATGTCCCAGCTCACATGGAGGCAGATTCACCCGCTTCCGCCTCTTTGGTTCCGGCCCTCAGTGGACTGGGTCGCTCACACACATCGGCCGGAGTGATCTTTCTTCAGTCTGCCAATTCAAATGCCAATCCCTTCTGGAAACACCCTACACACACCCAGATGTCTCGCTTCTCAGCTTTCTGGGCATCCCACAGATCACAGATCATAAAATTAACCATCGTACCCGGAGGTCGGAGTGGAGGGAACTACAGGCTCTACAGAGAGGCACAAAGATTGTTCGGCTGGCCTCAAGTTCGCGATCCTCCTCCCTCAGCCCAAGCGCTGGGGTTACGGGAATGTACCGCCGTGTCTTCCTGCTCACAAAGTTTGATTGTGATGATGGTTTTATGGGGAGATACATGAGCCAAAAACTAAATTGTACCCTTTAAATACACAGCTCAGTGGTCTTCATTCCTCAGTAAATTTGTGTGTATACGACCTAAAAATATCCACAGGGATCAGCCCTAGTTTCACATGCCTAGGATAAAGCGTATGCAGATGCACAGTTAGCGACCTCCAAGAGTATGAGTTCGTACGCCAGAGCGGCTCACCTAGCCCTTGGCTATTTGCCATCCAAGAGTTAGCTACCTACCTACTCCACTCAAACGACCTCTTTCAAAATATTGATCAGGAAATAGTTTCTGCGTCATTATTACCAGAATCTGATGTGTGAGGGTTCTCCAAAGCAACAGAACCAATAGGAGGTGTCTACCTCATCGTTTAATTTGAAGGAACTACTTCACATGATTACAGAAGACAGCAAGTCCAGGGCCTTCCGTGCGGATCATCAGCCAGAGACTGGGCAAGAGCTGATGCTGAAGTGGGAAGACAATTTTGCAGCAGACTTTCTTCTTGCGCTGGGAGCAGGTCGGTCTTTTCTCTACTCGGGCCTTCGACTGATTGGATGTGGGCTGCCACCCACACTACGGAGGGCCAGCTGCTTAACTCAAAGCCCACTGACTTAAATGTTAATCCCACAACAGGAAAACTTGCAGAAACGTCCAGAATAACGTTGGAGCAAATATCTCGGCACCATGACCTAGTCAAGCTGACACAGGACTATCACAACGTGTCACTGTCTTTTTTTTTTTTTTCTTTTGGTTTTTTTTGAGACAGGGTCTCACTATGTAGTTGAGACTGACCTGGAACTCACTATGTAGCCCAGGCTGGCCTCGAACTCACAGCGATCCTCCTGCCTCAGCCTCCCGAGTGCTGGGATTATAGGCATGCACTACCATGCCCAGCTAAATGTCTGCTTTTTTCTTTTTTTTTTTTTGAGACAGGGTCTCACTGCATAGTTGAGACTGACCTGGAACTCACTATGTAGCCCAGGCGGGCCTCGAACTCACAGCGATCCTCCTGCCTCAGCCTCCCGAGTGCTGGGATTATAGGCATGCACTACCATGCCCAGCTAAATGTCTGCTTTTTTCTTTTTTTTTTTTTGAGACAGGGTCTCACTGCATAGTTGAGACTGACCTGGAACTCACTATGTAGCCCAGGCGGGCCTCGAACTCACAGCGATCCTCCTGCCTCAGCCTCCCGAGTGCTGGGATTATAGGCATGCACTACCATGCCCAGCTAAATGTCTGCTTTTTTCTTTTTTTTTTTTTTCTTTTGGTTTTTTTTGAGACAGGGTCTCACTATGTAGTTGAGACTGACCTGGAAGTCACTATGTAGCCCAGGCTGGCCTCGAACTCACAGCGATCCCCTGCCTCAGCCTCCCAGAGTGCTGGGATTACAGGCATGCACTGCCACACCCAGCTGCTGCCTCTCCCTTTCAAAGACCACCTAGGATAAACCTTACTGGTAAAATAGTTTCTCACCTGTCTCACCTCGTTCTGTTTCAGTATCATACTTAGGTACTTAGGGTATGGGTGCAGCTAGAACAGGTTCAACAGTATTCCCTGTCCCTTTCTATTCAATTTTGGCTCTTTTGTCCACTTGGGTTTTGCCACTAGATAGGCAGCAGACAGCTTTGCATTTGCTTGTTTGAAAACATTGATGGAGCATTTAGTTTTTGCAGAACAGCAGAAGAGGTGCTTCAGAAGACACCCAGGTACACAGTCAACTGTCACCAGGTGTAATCTCACAACCTCACGGTCAGCCAGAAGTGGGGTTAGAGCTCTGGTTGTCAGAATCAATAATCGATTCAAAGTAGTAAGGAAAAAGAAAAAAAGAGGATTTCTTACAAGTATCTCACAGGTATCCTGAGAAAAGAATTGTGCAGTAACCAGTGCTCACAGGCTCTGCCACTACACTTCTCCTAAATAGCTATTGTTTTAATAGCATTGTGCTAGTACAAAACTAGTGTGCTCTCTGCAGAAAATGTGGAAAATATAGAAATATTTGCAGGGAAAAGGCATAATTTATGCCCATTTGGTTATCCAACCACCCTAACCCCTAATCAATTGTAACCCAACTACACACACACACACACACACACACACACACACACACACACACCAAAAAAAAAAAAAAAAAAAAAAAAAAAAAAAACTTTTAAAAAAGCAGACATTTAGCTGGGCATGGTAGTGCATGCCTATAATCCCAGCACTCGGGAGGCTGAGGCAGGAGGATTGCTTTGAGTTCACCTGGGCTACATAGTGAACTCCAGGTCAGTCTCTACTATATAACTCCACTCTGGAGCCTGATATTCCCACGTCACAAGCAATACAGGCTCCATCAAGCAGTGTTTCAGGAAGGGGGCTACCTTTTGGTAAAGAGCTCTCTCACCACAGGGCGAGGATCACTGTGAACATCCTAATGCGGCACCTGGTGTGGAGTCTACCTTCCCTTACCCTGACTCTGGTCTCCGTTAAGTGAAGGACCAATCTCCACTCCATGTAATTTTGTTTTGTTTAAGGCCGGGTCTGGCTATGCAGCCCACTCTCCTGCCTCAGCATTCGGAGTGACGGGATTACAGGTGTGCACCACCATGTCTGGCTTCCATGTAATCACTTCATTAAGACACAACAGCACATTTTAGAAAACCTTACATGAACAATATTTAAGAAGAAAATCTTCAGTACTTAAAATTTAAGTATAATTCATCCAGGCGTGGTAGCCCATAACTGTAATCCCAGCACTCTGGAGGGTGAGGCTGGAAGACTACAAATTCAACCCCAGTTTGGGCAATTTAATGACTTATGTCTAAAATGAAAAAGGAACCAGGTGTGGGGGTGCTCACCTGTAATCCCAGGACTCAGGAGGCAGAGGCAGGATTGCTGCAAGTTTGAGGCCAGCCCTGGGCTGTATAGTGAGTTAAAGACCAGCCTGAAATACAGTCCTACTTCAGAAATCCAAAATAAAATTTAAAAGTTGGAAACATAGTTCAGCAAAATGCCCTGGATTCAATTCCCAGTAGCAGGGAAGAAATTCTAATTCAGCTCTCTGAAATCCACAAATGAGGCACACACCATTTTTCTTCTTTATAAACAAGGGAATGTGTTTCTTTGAAAGTCCAATTTATAGCAAGTTCACCTTAGCAAGCAAGTCTCTGCCTGAAAATAAGAGTTGGGGGTGTAGCTCAGGGTGAAGGCCGAGAGCTACAAAACAAAATGTAATGACTTGATTTAGCAGTTTGAACCTTGTTTGATGGCGCCCTCTAGTATCGGGATCATGGGAGCGGGGATAATGACAGTGCCACGTATGGATTGTCCTCCATCAAATTCTGCAATACTCTTGCATCCTACAAAGCAGGTCCAATGAAGTCAGGCATGGTGGCGAATGCCTGTAATCACAGCATTTGGGAGGCTGAGGCAGGAGTGTGTTGGAGGCCAGCCTGGGCTACACAGTGAGTTCAAGGCCAGCCTGAACTACACAGCAAAACCTGTCTCAAAAACAAAAAAGCCAGGCATGGGGGTGCATTCCTGTAATCCCAGCACTTGGGAGGCTGAGGCAGGATTGCTGTGAGTTCAAGGCCAGCCTGGACTACAGAGTGAGTTCCAGGTCAGTCTCAACCATACAGTGAGACCCTGTCTCAAAAAAACAAACAAGGGCCAGGTATCTAGCCTGCCTCACACGGGCAGGGATCCGAGTTGATTCCCTGTACCAAAACAACCATAAAAACAAACAAAAAGCAGGCTAGCTGATTTGTACACCAAATTCTTCACGCACAATTAGGTAGGAATTCTATCTTGTGTAGGAGACACATCCCCAAGGTTCTTTCATTCATAGCAAGGCTGTATTAGGTGATACTGAGTACATGGCAACTCAGAGCCTATAAAAACAGACATGAACATTTCGGAACAACTGCACTCTAGGATGTCAAATGTCATTAATAACCAGGAGGTTCATCAACCCTATCAATGGTGAGGTAATTCTCTCCACTTGTATGAACGCTTCTGAGAGTGAAGTTAGGGCTATCTTAAAAACAAATTAGGTAATGAATATCTTAAGAATTTTTAGCAGTGCTGAGGACTGAACCCAGGGCCTTGGCACTGAGCTACATCCCAGGCATTTCAGACTTTTTGGGGAAGGGGCAGTGACATGATCTTGCTATGCAGTTTCGGACTTTTTGGGGAAGGGGCAGTGACATGATCTTGCTATGTAGTTCAGGCTGGCCTTGAACTAGTGGCAATCTTCAGGCCTCAGCCTGAGTATTAGGATTACAGGAATGCGCCACCACACCCAGCCCATGAGACAGGGTCTGGCCAAGTCACTAAATTGTTTAGCCTGGTGCTGGCTTTGGCAGCACATGTACTAAAATTGAAACGATGCAGAGATTAGCACGGCCGCTGTGCAAGGATGACATGCAAGTTCGTGAAGCGTTCCAGATTTCTCCCATCAGAATCACAGCAGACTTTTCAACACAAACCTCAGGTCAAGGAGAGCCTGGAGTGAGGTATTTCAAGTCCTAAAAGAAAACAAGCTCCAACCTAGACTGATGTATCCTGCAAAACTCTTTCAAAATGGATGGGGAAATAAGATACTTCCATGACAAAGAACACCTGAGAAACTCCAATGAATACCAATCCAATTCTAAACAATTGTTTAGCTGGGACTTCAACTTTCATCTTCCTGCCTCAGCCTTCCCCAGTGATGGGATTATAGGCATGTGCCACCACACCTGCGCTTTCCTTGGCATTTCAGTCGCTCTGAAAGGCAATTTCAATATATGGTTCCCCTGTAATGCTACCTTGTCCTTGAATTGCAACATAATTCAATTAAACTACCAATCTCATAGTTACTCCCTGGGGGTCCAACTTATGCAACTGACACTAACAGAAAATAGAAATGAAACACAGAAACACATACATTAAAATTTATGAGAACCTGTATTTTTTATATGGTAAATAATCTGACAAGGGAATTTCCCCAATCCTTGGAATCAAACCCAGACTAAATGTTTTCATCTATTGAGCTACGTTCTTTGCCGTTTTGTTTTGTGGTACCGGGAATCACTCTTGCCTTTGTGCTTGTGAGGCAGGCGGTGGAACCAATGAGCCAAACCCCTGGCCCTTTTGGCAGTTTTTAAATTTAAAAAAAAAATTGGGGGGTACTGGGGATGGAATTCAGGCCCCTGCACTTGTGAGGTAGGCGGAACCACTGAACTAAATCACCAGGCTTAAATTTTTTGATAAGGTCTTGCTATGTATAGTTCAGGCTGGCCTTGAACTTGTGAACTTCCCGCCTCAGCTCCTGAATATGCTCGAGTTACAGATGTACACACCTGCCTCACAAAACTTGGGCATTTTTCTTGGATTTTGATTTTTTTTTTGGCACTGGGGATCAAACTCAGGACGACTTCGCACTCTCAAGGCAGGTGCAGTGCCACAGCTAAATCCCCAGTTTGATGAAAGTTTTTTAAGTTATCAACTAGCTTTGAAATATATCCCTATCTGCTTAAACACAGTATACTTCCTACCGATACCCACAAAATCTGTTAACTGTTGACACCACCACTTGATCCTCTGAGTTTGGTGGTAGAAATGCTTTAGTGAAGACTGGCTGAACTGCATACCTTCAATAGCTTTTAGATCCTTGGTCCTTTTTCACTGGGCACACCGGTCTTTCCAATCCTCGTTGTTCTGTACTGACACTCCTAGCAGGAAGGAGATGGAAGCTACCGTTTCCCGGAATTTGGTCTCTAGGACTTGTTACTGTTTCATAAATTGCTGCTGAAGGTCAAGTCCTAAGTCAGCTTGTGTCTTCCACCAGAAGCCCTAAAATACAAACCATGTCCAGCTGCAAGGTCTCCAGGATACAGACCTTGTGGAGACTAACAAGACGGTTTAAAGGAACCTTTCTGACCCCAGGTGAAAAGCTTAAGACAATCATTAGACGAAGAGCCCTAGAAGTACAGCACACACGTCTAATTCCTGAACCACAAAAAGCCTAAGATTGGGCTGGGGATTTAGCCCAGTTGTTCCACCGCCTGCCTTACACATGCAAAGTCCAGAGTTCGATCCCTGGTACCATTAGAAAAGCCTGAGACTATTTTAGGCCATCAATGTGTGGGTGCTTTACATAGTTGTATAACTACCTGGGCCAAGGATTTATCTCAGTGGTTCCGCCAGTTGCCTTGCAAGCCTAAGGTCCTGAGTGTGATCTCCAGTACAAAAAAAAAAAAAAAAAATCATCCTTATGGGGCTGGGATTTAGCTCAGTGGTTCTGCTGCCTGCCTTGTTACCCGGTAACCCCCCAAAAAATTGTGTAACTAATGCACACCGCTGATACTGCTAAGTACCACAGCCACCACCTGTCGAGCTCACAAGACTCCCTACTCTTCCTGGGGTTTGTTTTTTTTTTGGTACCAGATTATCAAATTCTTGACCTTGCACTTGCGAGGCAGGTGAGACACAACTGAGTTAAATCCTCCACCCCTACTCTCTCTTCCTTTTAATAATTTACCTCACTTTGCACTACAACCCTTTCTCTGCAACACAGATAAAATGAGATGATACCGTAAAAAGAAGTTAACACAGATTAGATACATTTGGCTTCTAAATTCAGTTCACGGACCTTAGAACAGGGATTTGTAATGAGACCACTTTTCCCTGGAGGTTTTGCGTACCTGAGGCCTCCATCTCTATACCTCACAGACTGTCAACCCTATGGATACTATACCCACCTGCCCCAAGGGAAAATGTAATCAACCAAATCTGAAAAGCTGGGTCTTAAACACTGAGATATGTATTTCCCAATCAAATAAAGGAAAATTAAAAATCAGCTCAATTTGGGTTACCTTCTGTTGCAAGTAAGGATAACTCATCAACATTAAAAATAGTAAATAGGGCCGGGGATTTAGCTCAGTGGTTCCAGCGCCTGCCTTGCAAGCTCAAAGACCCAAGTTCAATCCCCAGTATCAAAAAAAAAAAAAAAAAAAAAAAAAAAAATACACAATATAAATATTCTGGGCCAGGGAGGTAGCTCAGCGGCATAGCCCTTGCCTGGCAAGGGCAAGGTCCTGAGTTCAATCCCTGGCACCAAAAGAAGAAAACGAACCTGCGTAATGAAACTTCAGTCATTTTACAATTTATAAATAGGAATTGAAATATTCAAACACCAATGTAGTCTACATCTTTTCTTTTAGGTCTTAATGTATATTTAATTATTTCCTACTATGTTAGGGTTAAATTTCTTTTTTAAAAAACTAGTTTTTAAAATAATTATAAACTCACAGACAAATCATGAACAGAAGGGTTTATTTCAGCAGTAAGTTTCAAACTCTTGCTTTAAGCAAGGGTACTACAATAATTTTATCAGGAATAGACAATTTCCTACCCTGTCATAGATATAAAAGTTCCTTTTGTACTTTTGTTCAACACTGATCAACAAGCAGATTCAGTCCACATTTGCTGTGATCGGTCTATTACTGAGTTAACCCCAGCTTCTTCTTCAGAGACTCCGGCATCTCGGGTGGAGGTGGGCGAGGGAGCCTGAAGTAGACCTTCACGGAGTCATAGATGAACCACTGTAGCGCGGTCAGAGTCCCAATCATGATGATACGGGCAAAGAGTCCCTTCCACACGCCTGGTTCAGACAGGAAACAGGAATGAAGACATGCAATATACCTAAGCAGTGTTCTTCCCTTAAAGGGGGAGAAAGCCCATCTTACCTCTAAAGCCAAGTCTCTGGAGGACCTGAGAAGCACTGCTACCTTTCTCTTTATTTAGCACAGATACCACAGAATCGGCAGGGTGAGAAACAATTGCACAGAAGACTCCAGCTGAAATAAAGTCAAGATAAATGATTCCATACAGGACCAATCAAAACCAAAAAAACTTACATCACAGTCAACAACTTTTTTTCATAACTTTCAATAAACTACTATATAAAAAAAAAAAAAGAGACTTCAGCTGAGCACGGTGGCCCACACCTGTAGCCCATTTAAATGAGGATCAATTGAACTCAGAAATTTACTGATGGGGCCATAATGCATATCTCTCTCTGAAGCACCAGTGGCACATGTACACATATCCCATCAGGTGGCATGGGACAATCATACATGTACCACCAGTCATTCAAGCTGGCAAGAACATGTTAAGGCCAGCCTAGGCAACATACCAAAACTCCATTTCAAAGTCTTAATATTCAGACTTTAGTCAATACTTCATGTATTAAAAATTTGTTCTTGAACATTTTTTTTTTAAAGGGTGCAGAGTAAGAGAAATACATGCACAAGCCCAGTAAGGACAAGCCCAGTAAGCTTGGTGGTGACCCTTATAATCTCAGCGCTCTGGGAGGCTAAGGTAGGGAACTACAAGTCCAAGACCAGCTTGGGCAATTTAGCAAGATCCTGTTCAATATGAAATAAAAAGGCTGGGAATGCAACTGTGTGCAAAGGCCCTAGGTTCAATCCCTAGTACTGGAAAAAAGAAAATCATAGAAACCATAAAACAATTCTTTTAACTAATTAGAAATGGTTTCGGAAAGCCATGTTATGGGAAGATAAAATTGCTTTATAACTTTTGGAGAATTTTTTCCTCACAAAAGATCCCAAAAATGGAAATGATTATTTGTCCAGAATGTCAAATAAGTGTGTCCTAAATAATTCATACCTATGTAACCTGCCACAAATGTCACAACCAGCTGCTCTGCCTTTGTACATTCACTCCGGGGCTTAGGAACCACAAACTTGTACAATGCTTCAACAGTACGTTCAAAGCAGGCAAACTTCATCATGGTGTATGGTATTTGTCTCATCCAGAGAGGGGCAACTCCCTTGTAGAATCTAGGAAATTAGAAGACTTATTCACACAGCTGCACGTATTGATCTTGAGGAGATTTTCATCATTAACTGAAGTGTCCGCATACCAGTCGAATCCTGATAGTAAAAAGTGACAGCATAACTGCATGTCATCTCTATCAGAACCTCAGACTAACATGCAGGTGTATTTATCTCACATGCCAATGACTCAAGCACCTTCGACTGTACAACCAAAAAGTTGCTGGATGCTTGACTGGAACTACAAGAAACAAAATGTTTACAAGCAGAACTCAGTTCAAGATTCATCCACAAAGGTGGATCTAAGGAAGCATGTTGTGCCCTGACTACATGCAAATTCTTAACAGTGAACAGATCACAAGAGATCTAACAAGCCCTCCTCAAAAGCGCGGTAGTAAACAGCCAAATATAGGTCATCTGCAGACTGACAAATGACCTTCACTTTGGCTGGGGCGGGCGGTGGCGGGGGAGGCATGGTACACTCCATCCAAAGTTTTGCCCAGAGCTTAATCTCTAGATACAGGTAGACAGGTAGATGGATGTTACAAGTCTGACAGACCTACTTCTAAGACATGGACATTCCCCACAAATGAACACTTTTAGGAAAGTGCTTTACTTACGCTTTCAGGCCTTCTTCCTTATACATTTTGGGAGCAGCATCTCTCAAAGTGTTAGCATAACCTGGCTGGGTTTGAATTCGAACTTTAGCAGCTTCCATGGGAGCCAGGGCGATGTCAGCAAAGAATTCAGCACTGGCGGAGGCAGCCAAATATAGTGATGTACGCCAGAGATAGGCATTCTCCTAAAAAAATTAGGAGGAAGGGTGTGAATTGTTGTTGCACTGGTTGTTTTCAATTGATGCAATACTTCCGGGAAACTAAACTTCAGATATTTTAAAAGTATTTCACATCACACATTCCATGGGTAACATACAGAAGACACTGAATATATATTCTTTCATAATCTCACCAACCAAATGCTTACAGAACAATGTGAACATTTTCTGAACACCCAGGTGTTAAGTGTATTAATCCTGGAACTACACAAAGGATTCCTAGAGTCCTTATTAAAAACAAACACCCTAAAAACCCAACTTAAAATAACTAAACAGTATAATAAAAAGGACACAGACAATTTTATGAGATACACCTTCTTGGACTGGGGTGTAGCTCAGTGACAAGAGTGCCTGCCTAGCTTGTGCTTGGCAACAGCAAAGGGAGAGGGAACAAAAAAAAAAAGTTGAGAAGGGGGTAGTCAGACTTTCTCATCTGTCTTGATGCTGAAAACAGCCTGATGATCTGAAGCGCAGTGCTCATCTGAGACCATTTCTTCAGGTGTAATAAAACAGAGCTAAGGCCCTTTTTGGTTTTAAACTTTCCATCTCAAAGTTGAATTACATACCTCACCAAGCATGTTGCTATACAACACTTTGAAGACTTCATAAAAGCCAAACTTGCAGAGCCCTTGCATAGAGTAGCCAATGAAAGTTGGAGCCCATCCCTTAGCCAAACCACGAACACCATCTTCTTTAAGTGTAACCGAGAATCCATTAAATATGCCCTTATACTTTTGGGGGTCCACCTTTAATGAAAACGGAAGAAAAAAATTTATTACATGCATCAGAGATCTAAAATAAATTTCAGTAAACTACCAAAAGGTAAATACAAGCTCCTGACATAATACCAGTTTGTTATCTACATTATTTTTATAAATGGAAACTGTTTGAACATTAAAATCTAGTTTCGAGTGCCAGGGATTTGGTTCAGTGGTTCTGCCACCTGCCTCGCAAACTCAAGGGCCCAAGTTCAATCCCCAGTACCACCCCCAAAAAAATCTAGTTTCGAGTCATCCTTATCATCTTAAAGAGATGGTTAAGAATAATACCAAACAAAATACAAAAAAACTCTCAAGAAATGTCTCACCATCTAACTCCTACTACATTTAAAACTAATTTTAGGGCCAGGGATTTAGCTCAGCGGTTTGGTGGCCTGCCTTGCAAGCGCAAAGACCCGAGTTCAATCCCCAGTACCAAAAAAAATAATAATAATAAAATAAAATAAAACTAATTTTAAAGCTACTCTCTATATTCCTAATATATACTAGCTCATTAAATAGATTTTTGTGACTAATCGACAGTCTAATTTTAAAAGATAACATCAACACAAGAAATGTCTTTTCACTTCTGCGTGATGGTTCATGCCTATAATGCCAACACACTGGGAGTCTGAAAGATCTGAAGTACAAGGTTAGCAAGACTCTCACACACACACACACACACAAAATATGGCTGCAGATGTAGCTCAGTGTGAAGGCCAAATTCAATCTCCAGTGCCATCATAAAACAAACAACAACAAATAAGCCTGTCTTTTGACTTAAACTCACTTTCAGAGATTATGTCCAGTAAATCCTAACAAGGGTGTATTTCATATTCATTTTAACTAGTGGGACAAGGAGTTTATCTCACTATTTCTGCCAGTACTAGAAGGACTAATAATATACATCACCTTCCTCTCTCTTTTAGGTAAGAAGACTTTTAATCCTGTTTGGATAAATGAATTTTTGTTTCAATAATTCTGATTAAAATATTCAAGTAAGGTAATTCCTATTAAATATATAAGAGGCTATGCCCACAAAATTTTCATATTAAGCTATTAAGAGCATTTTAAAGTAATCTGCATTTGTTATGTGTTCAATCTCATCAATATATAAGGACATTAAGTTACTTCACATAATACACAAGCTGATTACCCAGTATCTGACATGTTAAATGCTTATAAAATGATTATGTGGGACATAAAGAACTAGAACTAGTAGTCGCAGTCCACAAAGAGGAACTAGCCACAACTGAACACTAGCAGCAAACAACAATTTACAGCAAATAATTTATCCATATTTTTACAAACATTTACCGGACTTAATACATTTGACATCATCATCTCAATACAAACCTGCATACGGCATTTCACTAAATCCAAGGGAACCACAGCAGTGTGTGTCAGCCCACAACTTAAGACCCCACCAAAGCCACATAGTGCATAAAACTTCATGGAGCCATATTCACAACTGTACTCTGTAATAAGACAAGACACACCATGCATTTTAATATAAAACTCAAGTTACTGGTCATCAACTTACCTCCTGGACAGTTAGGTTTCCACACAGCTTGTTAGTAGTTGTCTACATCTTACAACTTAAGAGCCATGCTTCAACAATACGCTTTAGTCCAGCATGCAAAACAAACCTGCATTCTGCATTTAACCAGATCTAGAGGAACCACTGCTGTATGGGTTGTGCCACAGCTAATAATTCCTCCAAGTCCACAAAGGATAAAGAATCTGCCAGATCCATAGGCACAGCTATACTGCTCTGTTCGATTGAAAAAAAAATCAAGTAAGTATGTCTTCAAAGACGACAAATGTTATGGGAATGAAAGAAAAGTATGTTTCCCTGTGAAACAGAACCAACGGCTCTGGCTACAATCATTTGACAAGGAAATGATAAGATGATTTCCCAAACAAGTTTGAGTCAGAAGAAATCCTCTGTCAAAATCAGACCATTTACAATTAGTTTTTTGACATTTGTGCGATACTGTCTCATTTTATCCTATCGATTTTTCAAAAATTGCTTCTTCCAATTAAAAGCAAACATTAAATTAATAACAGTTGATAAAAATATTCTTCAGAGCCCTTGGCATCTAAAAACTTGGCAACTTATAATCTACTCCAGCCACTAACCAAATACAGTGCATCCCACTTTACAACTTGTGCAAGGTTACAAATACAAAAACTCCTGAAGTGAAATATATTCAATATATAAATGCAGTTAGCCCTCACTTCTAAACTGAAAGAAAACGATGGTGTAAAGACTTTAATCCACGCCAAATGTGTAACAGCACAAGAATGACTGGGGAAAAACACTTTCCATTTTACAGACTCAATGTACATAATATTCTTAGGAATCCTACAACTCATTTTTCTGTATTTACCTCCACTGAGATTTAAAACACAGTTAAGTCAGAACTGAGTCCAACCTCCTTAAATCCCAGGAGATAGACCCAAAGGGTTGTCCACCAACTCTTTTTCCTAGTCTAGTCGGGATCACCAGTAACCCCCACCAGTAGTATTAAAACGAGAAACCCCGTTACCTCACAAACGATTAAATGGAAAGACGGTTTACCTTGCTATTACTAATTATTATTTGCCACCAGTAATATAAAACTTAGGATATAGGAGCGTGGGGGAGGAGACTTTACCCAACGGTCTGCTGACCCAGCGGGCTCAGGGGAAGGTAAGAGACTGACCCGGCCTCTCCGACTGCACTCCCCTGGGACGTGGAGGTCAAGGAGGGACGCTGGGCCCGAGCCCGGGCCCTCCCCCGCCTCCGAGGGAGGGGCAGAGGCCTGACGGCGGCCCGGGGCGGAAGGGCTCCCATCCCGGGGTGAACAGCGGAGCG